TCCCCAATGATCGCTCATAGGGTTAAACCCCTCCCCTCTTAAGTCATATAACCTGTTTGTGAGAGATATAATTCCCATATCACTGATACAAATGATATTTTTTTAAGTTCCAAGCTCATCAAGATCAGAGAGTTCATGCAAGTATACTTCTCCTATACATTTCAATTTTCATTTCAATACTGAACATATTTGGGAGATAATGTCAATTATCAATTTCAGAGGATTTTGATTTTTCATTCTCTCTTTTTGGATATTCAACGGATATAATTCAGCGTTCGACGTGGCAAATAGCCAGGAAAGTAGTTGTTTTCTGTTGAATATTCAGAATGATATTATATGCATATGCAAATTCTCTACTTCAGAAGATTTTGTTTTCAAATTCTTCGTGTGTGTTCAATAGATGAATATAATGCATTCAACTTCGGTATATGGATTCATCTTTGAATGGGTCATTTTTTGACCAGGAAGCCATTCCGGACATTTTATCCAGTGGTGCCCTACAGGGGGTTGTGGCAACTTTTCATCCCATATTTTCGACGCCACTGATTAAATTCCGATTATTTCCAATTCCTCGAATTCATTGTTCAATTTTGTTCAGAAAATGCATCACCTTGAACTGAGCTGAAATGAACAGTTTTCGAGATATTCGACCCAAAATAGAAGATTGCATAGTAATATTTCATCATTTTCAGTAGTAGAAATTTGCAAAAATATTTTTCTGGTGTTGAGTAGATTAGATACAATTCTGATCTCATTCTATAGCTGAACAGAAATAGTTAGTACACGTATAAAGAGGAAACAAAAATTTTCGTAATTTTCTACTACTGAGGAAGATGAAAATTTACTATGCAAACTTCTATTTTGGGTCGAATATCTCGATAACTGTTCATTTTAGCTCAGTTGAAGGTGATGCATTTTTTCAACATAATTGAACCATCAATTCGAGAAATTAAAAATAATTGAAATTTCATCAGTGGGGTAGTATCGGCGGAAAAGTTATCACAACCCTCTGTAGCGCACATCTGGATAAAATTCTCGGAATGTTTTTCTGGTCAAAAAATTAACCATTGATAGATCAAACCATATACCGAATTTGAATGCATTATATTCAATTTTTCTTGAGATATTGCGAAAAAAACTATTTTAGTTTCTTAACTTCAACGCCCTGTATCTCGAGAACTGAACACTTGAAGACCGTATGTCCCTATCTCAGTGATAATGAAATCACGTGGGCTATCACCTGTCAAGCGATTATTAGATATAGAACCTTGCTGTCACTAGCGAGTGCATCTGTATGATGCTATTAGACGATGTTTCTGTAGTAGGTATCTGACTTTGCTACCGCTAGTGAGTGCATCTAATAATGGGAGTAGGGCAATGTTATAATCGTAGGTAGGGAACTTTGCTACTCTTGATGGGTGATCATATAGATAGTTGCATGACCTTCTTACTGTATATTTATTCTGTTATTTTCCAGGATTGTTGTCATCAAGAAAGGTGAAATTTTGACTGATATCCACTTTCACTTTCCATAATTTCCACCCTGATGTTTGGTATGAATAGCAATTTATTGATTCCTAAAGAAAATTTCGGACCAATGATCTTTGAAATTCAATAGATCAATTGATTCATGCACCCTCAGGAAAAACCAAAGGGTTTTTTGAGTGATTGATGAAAAAAAGAATTTTTCTGAAACCTTCTGAAACCATTGTACAGGAAAACAAAATGTTACCAGTAAAATCATTCAAATAATTTCATCACCTGGACATTTTTGCTCACAATAAGTTTTTAGACCAGATTCTATAGAGAAGCTCTGAAACATATTTGACCATTTTAAAGTTTCATGATACCAAAGAGAGGGAAATGTTATTGAATGTGAAATATATGAATTTCAGACGAAATACCTCGAAAAAACTCACCTTCATCATTCCATCAATCCTGGTATAATAACTGAAGCACTCCAGATCTACGAAAGCACTGAAAGGGACACAGAAGATTTTTTTATTTGTTAGAAAATGTTTCCATTTTATATTTGAATTCAGATTCAGATTTTGAATAATGAATTGAATTCAAGAGGAGAAATATTCGTAACTGTCGTGTCGTCGAGATTGTCGTCCTGTACATGGGTTTGCATCAAGAGCCCAACTGTGAATGATTGATCAAGCAAGATGTCTGACAAATTAGAGGGGGACAAATCAGCGAAATATCGAATAACGATGAGTAGGCGCTAAATAACCCCAAGTTGGTTCGTCAAATATTATTTTCGTGGCAGACTGACAGTTGTATTATTGGAAGTGAGTGCAGTTCTATGCGATTAACCTCGCAGCCACAAGCATATAACTCACTAGTAGTAGTTCAGCTAGACAATTATAAAAAAAATCATGCTGTCCCAGAGTGGCTGCCTGAGAGCTACAGCAGTATACCTTCCTGTGGCAGGAAATTCACTTTCAGCAAAGTCGTTATTGCTATCATAGGATTTGAAGGTGCTGCTTTTATTCGAAAATGTATAACGGTAATATGATTTCTTGTAATGGTAGCAAGAAATATCTCAGCAAAAACTCTAATAGCACTATTTTCCTCAGTGTTCCTATTGTAAAAAAAGACAGAATAGACTTACCGATAGATTTTTCAGATGAGGTTAAGAATCTTGTTGGAACTATCGAGTCCTTCAACGGACAGGATCATTTGCAGAATCCAATATTATTGCAAGAATTATTGAATAAATTGACGATTTCTTACAAAATGATGTGAACTTCCAATGAAATAACACGAGATTTACAACTGATAGAGTTTAATTCATGGCTCGATCAAAAATCGATGATAGCATGTCAAATACAAATGCCAAAATTTTATGACATGACAGTTAATGACAAACATTCTAATACAGGGAGTTATAAAAATTTGAAAATGCGCCATCAATATGTCATCAATGTTGTTGTCAACAACAATTATAGTTAAGAAAAACTGTGTTTGCTGCAACAAATAATTACGTCACTTCCCAGCGAGCACAAACATCCCTGGGATGTTTTGAAAATGTTGGCATGAAGATGTTATTTTGAGACATAATATGCACTGACCAAAGAGGTCTTTGAAGGATATTGAAGTATTGTTTTTGTTCTTCTGTGGCATTTCTTTGTTTGCCTACTGATGAGAGGTATCCCTGGGATGTTTTAGAAATGTAGGCATGAGGATGTTTTTTGAAGGCGTAATATGCACTTATCAAAGAGGTCTTAGAAGGATATTGAAAGTATTGTTTTTGTTCTTTTGTGCCCTTTCTTTGTTTGCCCCACCACAACGTCTCATGCTTACGTCACAATACGATGAATTCTGATTTGTTTTCGATTTTGTTCTTCTTGTTCGCAATTGGTATTCGCGTTTGCAGCGTGTCACGCTTACATCACGCTGCTAACGAACAGAAAGGAATTCGGTGAAGTTTATTGTGTTAGAAGACTTATTCAGTTTGTAATAATGACCATCAGATGCAAGATGTGTTGTTCGGTGCCTCAGTGTAATCAATATATAAAAGTACGAGTTTATCAATACACAGCTTCTCCGCAGTTGCAAAATAATGCATTGTGGAGAACATTTCAAAAATTGGGAAACCTATTTCCAATTATATGTCTGTGTGTAGCAAGCAATACTCAGAAACCGATTGAGAAGGTAATTTCATATCAAGAAAATATTTTTATGTTCAATCTATTTTTAATGCATTTTTTCATTCAAGGGAAATTGAATCCTAATGAAAAAGTTCATTTTGACAAAAGGCTTCAGAAAAGTACGTCGAAAATGGTTTTTTTACAACGATTTAATGTGCGCAAGACGCGTTGAAAATGTTTTGTTGTGTCCATGAAAAGGTGGTGGTTTTGTGACATATCAAGGACATCTCGATAATTGCCGCCTGCGGCGGACATTGGCTGTTCTATAATAGTTCTATTCATGTGTGAACAGAACATCGCAGTGGAGGTTGAATGTCTCGAAATCTCGTACTTTTAACATCTCTGAGATGTTTTTGTGCTCGCTGGGTTGAGTGTTCGCCCTTTCTTCAAATCCTTTCCAGAAGAAGAAAGGTGGGACTGCAGACTTATTCCATTCCATAATATATCTAGCTGTCTGAAGAAAGAATCGTTTCTCGTGTCTTATTCCATTCCATAATATATCTAGCTGTCCGAAGAAAAAATCGTGCAAAAATTCTAATACAGGGTGTTATTTAAATTCAAAAAAATACGACTCTGATAACAATTGTCAACAAAAACTGTGTTTGCTGCAAAAGAGAATTGGCCAGCGTAGCCTCGTGGTTGAAGCATCGGTATCCTATCCACGTTGGATTGCCGGTATATAGGTAGGTTCGATTCCCACCACGACCGCAGAAATTTTTCTGATGGTCTAAGAAAATGTTTGGGATCACACTTTAGAAGGTAAGACCCCCGTCACTTCTGAGGCTTGCCTAATCAGACCAATTTGGGTAGTTTTAACGTTGACAGATTCCCGCACCTTTTGAACATATTCTTGTTTTATATCTACGAGTTCTGGATTGTCTGTTTGTAGATCATTATATTCATATTCGATCTTATATTCCTCTTTGATGAAAACACTGTCGAATTCACTTTTAACTCCATATATGCGGTACATTGTGCACAACTGAAACATCTTCACTGGAACACTTTCCATTGGAAATATTGCTTTCCAAAGGATTCTCACCGATGTGCACATTTTTCTGAACAATAACATTTCAGTGTGCAACTTTCTGTGCTTGGTCAAGAACCATCTAGAGCTGAACTTTTCATAACAAATGTCACATACGAATATGGTTCTTTACCGGTGTGCAACTTTTCGTGATCTTTCAAGGTACGTTTCACGGTGAACTTTTTATAGCAAATTCCACATTGAAAACGTTTTTTATCGGTGTATGTAATAGTATTCTGTAGTACAACATCCTGATTTTCAATAAAATGGAATTTCGTTACAACGCCATAACTCGGTATTGATTCATCCAATTGGATTAATTTTTTCACCAAAAGGTAAAGAATTTGTTGGGGACCATTTCGTCTCCATTGAGTGTGCTTCTAAAATTTATAGTAAATGAGCTATAGCCTATCAATTACGAACGCATCAGTACGGACTGATGTGAAATCTCAACCTACTAGTGTGACGTCAGCGTCGAGAGAGAGGGGATAGACTACGGCCCGGTGAGATAGAGTAGGCCCTAGTTAGGCCATGGATATTTGTGTTTGTATACTAACCTAACCCCGCACAAGTTTCGACTTATGGGGCGTTTGGTCCCAGTGCTGGGATCAACGAGGTAATGTAATTGCAAAAAAAAAACTTTGTATAGACTTTTTCAGAATTTTCTGTTCGGACACGATCACATATCCGACGACTATACAGTCTGTCCAAGATAAGGTTGAACAGCATGGGGATCTCGAAAACGGTAAGAGATACGAAATCGGTTAAATGGGGAAAAAGTTGCGCATTCGGAGGCTCATATCAAGAGCCTTCGAAAATTTTGAAAATTATTTTTAGTTTTTGAGTTATATCGAAAAAAGTGAAGCAACTTTTGATGACGGTCAACGTGGTGATACCGATTTTTTCATGCGACGTTTCGTATTCGTGGAACCATCATCAACTTTTGTTTTTTAAATACGGTCCTGATAATTTTTTCACAGATTCTAAAAGGTTTTTTTATTCTGAATTCAACCATGTATTATACAAGGTGGTTCATTTGTGTTTCGACCTATTTCCATCCATCATCAATGTTTTTTCGAAACTCCAAAGGAAAAATGCCAACAGTTCCACTTATTTTGAAGGAAAATTAGTCAACACACTAATACCTCATCAACTGGTTTCAATCAACAACCCATTTCATTTTGCGGAAACAAAAATTCCATCCATACAAATTCAGAATATGTCAAGCGCTAAAACCAGGAGATGACGAAAGGCGCAAGACATCCTGTGAGTGGTATACCTGGAAATGTTAAAATTTTGCAGATTTCTTTCGAACAATCATCTGGACTGATGAAAGCATGGTCACTAATCATGGTAGCTTCGATAGAAAAAATACACATTATTGTTCACGAGAAAATGAACATTTATACATTACAGCGAGACACCAACACCGTTTCGGCTTCAATATGTGGGTTGCAATATTTGGTACACGAATTTTTTTTTTTTATCGATTGGAGCGCCTTCTATTTATCATGAAACACAGACTTCCGAACGTTATAGAAATTCGCTTGAGAATCATCTTGAGGAAGCTCTGGATGATTTACCGATTGCGGAAGTTCAGAACTCTGTTGGTTTCAACAAGATGGCGCTCCGGTACATAATTCCAGAGAAGTCCGTGCGTTTTTATCCCTTGGCCGGCGCGGTCGCCTGATTTAACACAGCTGGATTTTTTCTTAGGGGATATATCGAACTTTGTACACGCAAATAACTTTGAGGATGAAGAAGAACTAAGGGACAGTGTCTTCGAAGCATTCAATAGAATAACACCATAAAGGCTTAGCAATGTCTTAGAAACAACTGTGAGAAGAGGATATCTTTGTTCAGAAAATAATGGTTATCATTTTGAACATTTTTTATGAATGTCTCTGTAGGTATTGTCAAAGTTAAGTTGTTAAAGTAATTCGTGTAAGAATTCATCAACAATTTTAAACGCTGCCTTGATCGAATGATGTAGTGAAATATTTTTTATTCACTTTTCAGTATTGAATAACTAATCCATCAAGTTTGACACTAAATGATGAGAAATAAGTGGAACTGATGGCTTTTTTTCTTTTGGAAGTTCAAAAAAACATTGATGATGGATAGAAATAGGTCGAAACACATTCGAATCACCTTGTATAGTACATTGTTGAATTCAGAATAAGAAAACCTTTCAGAATCTCTGAAAAAATTATCAGGACCGTATATAAAAAAACAAAAGTTGATGATGGTTCCACGAATACAAAACGTCGCATAAAAAAATCGGTATCACCACGTTAAACCTCATCAAAAGTTGCAATGACTATTTTCAGTTTTTCTGTATCTCTGATAATAACGGAGAAAAAAAAAATAAAATAGAAATTCCAAAAATTCACTTTTTTCGATATAACTCAAAAACTAAAAATAGTTTTCAAAATTTTCGAAGGCTCTTGATATGAGCCTCCGAATGCGCAACTTTTTCCCCATCGTATCTCCTACCGTTTCCGAGATCCCCATGCTGTTCAACCTTATCTTGGACAGACTGTACCTATACGTACAAGAAGAATTCCAACTTTCAATTTCATTCACTTAATCGTCGAAAAAATGCATCATTCTGAATGAATATTCATAACACGATTATCAAAGCTCTGAATTTGTGAATTCCGAAAAAGTTTCGAGAAAAAGCATCAATCAAGAGGATACAGGTGAGAAAAAAAATTAAAAAAATTATCTGTTCAAACGGTAAGGTGACGACCACGATGCAATTTTACACCCATTCAATTATCACCCTGTAGCAATGTTATCTGAAATCACAGAAGTTTCACATTGCCAAAACAAACTGTCAAGAGATTAGGCTAATCATCGGTGAAAACCGATTTCAAATTGGTGAGGAAATTCGTGAGTTATTCTATTTTGAATTCAGGCTATATTTTGGAGCACGACGTTATCAATGTTGACCAGTTTATATCAACTGAATAGGAAGCAATGATATTGTCTCTTTCTCTTCTGGTTTGTTATATTATGATCACAATTCAATAAACACGAGCACAAATGACGTGGACAAGGGTTACACTTGCTCTTAATTCGGCTGCCTGCCAAACACTGTATGAGCCAGTCTTCGCACACGTCTGTCATAGACTCTGATCTAAGCACATTCCACTGAGCAGTAGAGCATCTAGTTGCTAGATGCTAACATGGTTGTTATTTTCTTCTCCCGAAACGTCCAAAACTAAGTAGACATCTGATATTTTTTCTATATACCTTTATTTCTCTTCTCCAAACTTTTTTCAATATAAATTGTCACTGACAGGCTAGTGAATTTTCTTCTAAGCTCTCTGAAAGGAAAATTCTTTGAACGCAGTGACATTTTGGGGCAAATCATCTGATTTGTCCTTACTACACTTAAAAAACTCCGTTATATTTCATTTTGCTTGATAATTCGGTATTTACTCTCCTAGTTTCTATAAAATAAAAATATGAGTAATATTTCAATATACAGGGTTAGGCAAAAGTATGGAACCAGGTACAGGATGATCTCAAAACATGGTGGATTTGAAAATGTTATCGTCGATGTTGCCACTGTTTCAGTTATTCCGGAATTATTATCAACTTCCTTATTTTAAATAGAACATCCTGTATATTATTGAATCTTCAGATTTTCCCTGGAAAGCTGAGTTCATCAATTCGTCACACTTGGGTCAAGCAAGAATGATTACTGAGATATAGGGTGTTCAAAATCGAGATTTTTTAACCTTCGGATTTTTTTTGTGTCGAAACTATTCATTACTGGTCGAAACATCTTATATGTCCCTACTCCCTACGTACAGGGTGGTTCAAGATTCAGAAATCTGATCACCCTGTATGGAACTTGAAGTGTTAAGGTATCCCAAAAATACTATGAAATCATTTTTAAATTCAACAAAAGTCGAAGATCATAATATTCGTATTAAAACCTAGCTAAATTTCATCTTCAGAAGTGCCCAAATATCGTCAAAACTTGTTTTCAAGCATCTAAGCAAATATTTTTGGGGGGCCCTACCCAGATAATACATGGACATTCAATGGATATCCACTGGACATCCTTCATGAATTTCATGTATGTACTATGGATATTCAATTTATATCCAAGAAATATCTTATGGATGAATCAGATATATTCCCAAAAAGCTTCAATCTACGTTCGGACACAAAAGCATATCATGAATTGACACTATCAAAACCAATCTTGCAAATTGAACACATTCATAATTGCTGTGGATATCGTATGGATATCCTTAAGATATCTACTGAAGGATATCCATTTCAAATCCTGCGATGAATATTTACTGGATGCCCATTTATACAGGGATATCCCGACTAAAATTGGACATTCAGAGGATATCCATAGGATATCCTGTTATCAGTTTTATTCAAGCTTTCGACGTTGACAGATTACCACACCCTTCAATTATATTCTTGTTTTATTTCTACGTATTCTGGATCGTCTGATTGTAGATCATTGTATTCGAATTTGATCTTAAATTCCTGTTCGACAACAACACTGTCCAATTCACTTTTCACTTTTTGTAATTCTATGTGCACATCCGAAACCTCTTCACTGAAACACTTTCCATAGGAAATATCGCTGTCCGAAGGTTTTTCATCAGTATGTACCTTTTTGTGCCTATTCAAGTATTTTTTTGAGGGGAACTTTTTGTTACAATATCCGCATTCGAAAGGCCTCAAACCAGTGTGCAAATTTTTGTGATTTTTCAATGACACTTTTGAGGTGAACCTTTGATGGCAAATTTCACACTCAAAAGGTTTTTCACCAGTATGCAACTTTTTGTGTTCTCTCAATCTGGCTTTCATCGAGAATTTCTTTTTGCAAATTTCACACTCATGAGGCTTTTCACCAGTATGCAACCTCTTGTGCTCGTTAAAGTACCATTTCTTGGTAAACTTTTTTTTGCAAATTTCACACTCGTGTGACCCTTCACCAGTGTGCAACTTTTTGTGCTGGTTCAAGTACTGTTGCGTCGTGAACTTCTTGTTGCAAATTTCACACTCGTGAGGCTTTTCATCAGTGTGCAATTTTCTGTGCTCGACCAAGTGCCATTTCGTTGTAAACGTCTTTGTGCAAATTTCACACTCGTGGATATTTTCACCAGTATGCACTTTTTTGTGCTCGTTCAATTTTCCTTTCGTCGTGAACCCGATTTCGCAAATTTCGCACTTGTGAGGCCTTTCACCAGTGTGCAACTTTTTATGGTCGTTCAGGCTGACCTTCCTCGCGAACTGCTTTAGGCAAATTTCACACTCGAAAGGTTTCACACCAGTATGCAACTGTTTGTGCATTTTCATGTTCCGATTTGCGGTGAACCTTTTGTTACAAATGTCACATTCGAAAGGTCTCTCACCAGAATGAACATTTTTGTGCTCCTTCAATTTCCCTTTCATTTTGAACTTCTTTTTGCAAATTTCACACTCGTGGGGCTTTTCATCAGTGTGCAACGTTTTGTGCTCGTTCAAGTACCATTTCCTCGTGAATTTCTTTTTGCAAATTTCACACTCGTGGGGCTTTACATCAGTGTGCAACGTTTTGTGCTCGTTCAAGTACCATTTCCTCGTGAATTTCTTTTTGCAAATTTCACACTCGTGTGACCCTTCACCAGTGTGCAAGTTTTTGTGCTTGTTCAATTCAATCTCACACTCGTGCTTTTTCAGGTCCAGTTTTACGTTGGAGCTTTCGCTACGAATTTCACATTCAAAAGGTTTTTCCTTGTTATTTTTCTTCTCTTGGGAATCGCATTCAGATGGTTTTTCCATGTTTCCTCAAATCGAATTGTGTAACAAAAACCGGTAAGACAGAACTCCCGACTGAACTGGATTCTTTCTGGAAACCATTAGAAAGCTCGTGCATTTACCATTTAAGATTGAACATCTTTCTTGGAGGTAGATTCAATGCTGAGACAATATGAAATGCTGATAATGGATGTGAATATGAATTCTGATGACTGGAACCACACTGTAAGTAGGCACCTGCAAGAAAACAAACAATATCAACTTTGTGAATGTTGAACAGGAATATTGTGTTCATCAGCTTGAGTTGTTTGACATTTAATTTCAATTGACATTCACGACGCGATGATATCTCAGTTATCTTTGAAGATAGAGTGTTGCTGTTTGAACATTATCCTCTCACTTTTTTGTGAAACTAATAATGCCGCAAACATAATTTTCACAGTCCTTCATGTTTTTGAGATACAGGGCGAAATTGAAAATTCTCACTTTTTGAGCAACCCCGTATAATATTAATAATAATAATAATTTGTCTTTGTCCGCAAAAAAAACAATAATGCAAAGGGCAACTGGGCGGAAGTCTAGTCATGATCAGACGAGTCCAGTCAATTCCTACTCAACTTATAGTAGAGTGCCAAACGAATCGTAAGTCGCTTAGATCAAAAGTTGGTGGGAAATCGGAGGTAAAAAGCTGTGGAATGGCTAGAATTGTTACCTACCATCTCCAGATCATGGATCAACTTGTCCTGTTGAATCTTGATTTCGTGTGACAAGTAGAACAAATTATAGAAAATTTTGAAATTCACCAATTACATAACGATATATGAGAAAATCATATTTCAAACGGCTATAACTCGAAACTTGTAAATTTTCGTTAAATTGCTTTTCATATACCTCGCATTATCTCAGTAACTACAACGTTTATCAAAAAAATACTTTTTCTACTCACATAACTGAAATGGCATTTAGCGTACGGATACGTACCACGCTAAATGATCGATATCGATTAATCACGGATTGTCGATCTGTGATTTATTCAAAATATTAAACACGTTACCATGGCAACACGATTTCTTAAACACATTACAGAGGTGTATAGAAATTTAACTGGTGGGCTCACTCTTCAATTGTTTCGTCAGACTAACTCTCGATATGGAACAATTGCAAGCGAGTTTTGGACGTGGGGTTCAGGTATTCGCGATAGAGGCGCCATAATCGGAAAATCGTTCAAAACCTTGGTTCTGTGAGGGATGAATCTATTTCCATCATTGTTCTATGGTGGATTAGGTATTATACACAAAATTTAGAAACTACGGAACACTTCCCTAACGAACACTAGACCCCAATCTCAGAAATAACCATTTTTTCAGCTCAAGAATATTTTTGACATATTGACGTTTCGATCCTTTGATCAGGAATCAGTTCACTGCTCTGATCCAAATCATATACGTATATAAATATATATCGGTCGGTACTATGTTTCCTATAAATATGGATTGTAACCAGGATGAGCTTAGCGAGATTTACCCACGTCAAGTATGTTTATCAAAGGTTTATCAGAGTAGGCGCCATCGAGAAACTTGCAAACGACCTTCAATAGGGAGCAAGCGCACCAGTTAAATTTCTATACATCTCTCACATTACCATGGCAACGCAGTTCATTAAACAGAGCTTCAGTAATTTGAGACATGTCTGGCCTGTCAATTGTATTAACTGTCAACTGTTATTTTCGAATTTTGTATCAGAATTATTCAAACAATATTCGTTTGTATTAGAATTCTTCATTAAAAATATATGCGAAGAGTAGACGAGAGTGAAATCGAAGAGAATGTTCTGGTACTTGCATATCTCCAAGAAGTGTGAAAATAAAGCATCCATCTTTGAGAACAATATATTTATTCTGCGCTGAGCATGACAATAAACGCGAAACAAAGGTTAGTAAGCGATGGACTGGACACATCTACAACCAATATCACTTAAACGTGTCTCGCTGGTTGCATGCAGTTGCATGTATTCTGTTCTCAATTCCCATTCCTTTCGAATTATTTTGTAGGTTAGCAGGAATTCCAGGTATGTTAATGTAATTTTCGGAGTTCGTAGAAAAATCATAGTATGTGACGCGTTTATAAACTCTTCTAGACACTCGTTTAATAAACACTCGCTCCGCTCTGCTCCGCTCGTGCTTAAACTACTCGTTACTAAAAGGACGACACTTGTTACATAATATACTATTAAATAATGTCGATGCGCCTATGTTTCAAGATGCGAATGGTTCTTCGATTTTGAAAATCGAAGCATAAATAAGGAAGATATTGGGAAAATCATACTTTTTACCTCCGATTTCCCACGGAGTAGGAGTGAACGACAGGATTCGATTGGCACTCTACTATTAACCCGAAAATAAATAATCATATTCTATTCAAAATGTGGAATTTTATACCTAAATATTAATATCAATTATATCAATAGCTAAACAATATAATAATTTATCGACTGTATAATTCCATATAATCGATAATTGCATCATAAATAAACAATACAAAAGCAATAACGACAAATTCAATACGATAAATACCTTATTATATCATCTCCATTCATATGATAGTATCAACAATAATTTCAATATTTGTTTCATATCAGAATTGCAATCAAGTATCATTGGCGAAGGAGAACAATATACAAATACACTAATCACTTCTAGTTGAAAGAAATAAGAGAAGTTTAGAAGAATGCAAGCGCGGATTTCTTGATTTTTCTTTTTTGGTTGTCATCTTCCTTTCCTATGATTTCGATATTATTCCACTCTAGAAGATAACAACCAAAAAAGAAAAATCAAGTCCGCGCTTGCATTCTTCTGAACGGAGACAATAGCATTGCTTCCTGTTCAGTTGATATAGATAGAACATGGTATTCACTACTGAAACCTGAACATGAAAATGGTAGATGCAAGATCAATTAATTTAAATATCCTGTAACTCACTTGTAGACTAAAATCACTCATTCATATGCCAACATCAGTATGACACTGAAAAGTATCAAACTATAAGCAGCACAACTTCCATAGAGAAATATTTTGCATTTTCATGTTGAGAACTGGAGCAGATTCGGTCCCGAAACGACCAAAGATAAGTAAAAAGTCGATATTTTTTCAACATATCTATACTGGATTTTTCTTTTAGGCTCCCTGATAAAAAAATTTGTTAAACGCAATGACATTTTGGGGCAAAACATCTGATTTATCCTACTACAAATACAGTGTGTCTCACTTACCATGCTCACCATGGGTATCTTTTCAACGGTGAGAGATACGAGGTCGGTTAAATGACACCAAATGTGGAGTTTGTCAAGGCCAACTATAATGTGAAAAAATTATTTTGATAAAATGTATTCGTTTTTGTTTTATACGTAAAAAACAGATTTTGATCATTTTCATGTCTCCTCCGTAACTTCTTAATTTATGAAAATATCCAAATAGGAATTTCACATTCTCATGGCAGTTTTTCAAAGTGATTTCGAAAAAAATATGGAATTTATACCAACTCTTCTGGAATTTGAGATATCAGCACCAACTTAAGTTTTTCAAATGTAGGTCATATGACTTAGTAACAAATAACTTTTTTTTCTCTTACAGATGTTATGTCGCAGTAATAGTTTTGTGTTGATAACAACGGAGTTATCGTCATTTATACAAAAACAAAAAATTATTCGGAAGCCGTCATCTTGAATTTATGAATTTTAACAGAAAAATCATGATCTCCGCCCTCAAAAACCCCCACTTACCAATTTTGAATGGAATCGGACCAAATCTTGTCCGCCATCTTGGAGCAGCCATTTTTTTTTAATTTCAACAAAAATTCCATAATGTATTGTCACCGAAATTATGAACACCTGCCAAATTTCATGTTAATCGGAGTTTGTCCGATTCCATTCAAAATTGGTAAGTGGGGGTTTTTGAGGTCGGAGATCATGATTTTTTTGTTAAAGTTCATGAATTCAAGATGGCGGCTTCCGAATACTTTTTTGTTTTTGTATAAATGACGATAACTCCGTTGTTTTCAACACAAAACTATTACTGCGACACATCATCGGAAAGAGAAAAAAAAGTTATTTGTAACTAAGTCATAGTGAGCTATGACCTACATTTGAAAAACTAAAGTTGGTGCTGATATCTCAAATTCTAGAAGAGTTGGTATAAATTTCATATTCTTTTCGAAATCATTTTGAAAAACTGCCATGAGAATGTGAAATTCCTATTTGAATATTTTCATGAATAAAGAAGTTACGGAGGAAACAAGAAAATGATCAAAATCTGTTTTTTGCGTATAAAACAAAAACGAATAGATTTTATCAAAATATTTTTTCACATTATAGTTGGCCTTGACAAACTCCACATTTGGTGTCATTTAACCGACCTCGTATCTCTCACTTTTAAAAAGATATATACCCATGGTGAGCATGGTAAGTGGGAACACACTGTATATTGCAATAATATTTTTATTTTTATTTTATAGAAACGAGGAGAGAAAATCCCAAAAAATCAAGTAAAATGAATACACCACCTCCTCGATTAACCTACAGACAGATTCCTTGTCCGAGAATCACCCAAATTTTGTGAAACAAATTAAAAAAAACAGAAGATTTTTGAAATTTATTTTATTTTGAATTCGTTATTCTGTCTCACACTGTCATAGCGCTATTTGTCCCACTATCTGAATTTCTGGTGAAACTGGGGGATCCCTATAATGTCGTATTTTCGAGGGTTTTTCCCAATTTTCTTTTCCATAAGGGTCCAAACACACAAAAAACAGAAATTCGTTTTGGTGATTCTCACCTAACCCTGGATTTGAAAGTATAAATTATGGCATTGGTTGATGGTCCTGTCTTTTTTCCAGAATGTTATTTTCCTTTCGATTATCTCTTCATCCACAGACATAGTTCTGGCTCCAGATTGACATTTTATTTCCACAATGGAGTTTTTTCTTCCGAAATTCCCTCAGGACTGGCAGCTATGTAACTGAATTCTTCATCAATGAATAGTCCACATTTTCAATATAATTTTGTGCTTCATACAGTGTGTCCCACTTACCATGCTCACCATGGGTATCTTTTTAACGGTGAGAGATACGAGGTCGGTTAAATGACACCAAATGTGGAGTTTGTCAAGGCAAACTAGAATGTGAAAAAATATTTTTATAAAATCTATTCGTTTTTGTTTTATACGCAAAAAACAGATTTTGATC